AAGGCACCGAGGGGCTGCGGGGCCGCGCTGCCCGGCCGGGGCTGCACGCCCCGCTTCACAGCCAGGGCTGCTTGCACAGCTCCCCACGGGCCCTGCCACGCTGGTTTCCATCCTGACACGCGGCTTTCACACCCTGACACGCGGCTTTCCATCCTGACACGCGGCTTTCCACACTGACACACGGCTTTCCACACTGACACGCGGCTTTCACACCCTGACACGCGGCTTTCCACCCTGACACGCTGCTTTCCATCCTGACACACTGCTTTCACACCCTGACACGCGGCTTTCCATCCTGACACGCTCCTTTCCACCCTGACACGCTGCTTTCACACCCTGACACGCGGCTTTCCATCCTGACACGCTCCTTTCCACCCGGACATGCTGCTTTCCATTCTGACACGCTGGTTTCCATCCTGACACACTGCTTTCACACCCTGACACGCTGCTTTCCACTCTGACACGCTCCTTTCCACCCGGACATGCTGGTTTCCATCCTGACACGCTGGTTTCACAGCTCCCCACGGGCCCTGACACGCGGCTTTCCACCCTGACACGCTGCTTTCCATCCTGACACGCTGCTTTCACACCCTGACACGCTGCTTTCCATCCTGACACACTGCTTTCACACCCTGACACGCGGCTTTCCACCCGGACATGCTGGTTTCCACACTGACACGCTGCTTTCACACCCTGACACGCTGCTTTCACACCCTGACACGCTCCTTTCCACCCGGACACGCTGGTTTCCATCCTGACACGCTGCTTCCACAGCTCCCCACGAGCCCTGACACGCTGGTTTCCACACTGACACGCTGCTTTCACACCCTGACATGCAGCTTTCCACCCTGACACGCTCCTTTCCACCTGGACACGCTGGTTTCCATCCTGACACGCTGGTTTCACAGCTCCCCACGGGCCCCGACACGCTGCTTTCCATCCTGACACGCTGATTTCCACTCTGACACACTCCTTCCACAGCCTCCCCACACACCCTGACACACTGCTTTCACACCCTGACACGCTGCTTTCCACCCTGACACGCTGCTTCCACAGCTCCCCACGGGCCCTGACACGCTGCTTTCACACCCTGACACGCTGCTTTCACACCCTGACACGCTGCTTTCCACACTGACTCACTGCTTTCACACCCGAACATGCTCCTTTCCACCCCTGGCATGCTGCCTTCTGCAGGGGAATGGCTGCACCTGTGTGTGCACAGGTGTGTGTGCCCTCTATGTGTGTGTGCACAGGTGTGTGTGCCCTCTGTGTGTGTGTGTGTGTGCACAGGTGTGTGTGCCCTCTCTGTGTGTGCACAGGTGTGTGTGCCCTCCCTGTGTGTGTGTGTGTGTGTGTGCACAGGTGTGTGTGCCCTCTCTGTGTGTGTGCACAGGTGTGTGTGACCTGTGTGTGTGCAGGCACAGGTGTGTGTGCACTGCCCCATGTGCAAAGGTGTGTGTGCCATCCCTGTGTGCACATGTGTGTGCCCTGTGTGTGTGTGTGCACAGGTGTGTGTGCCCTCTGTGTGTGTGCACAGGTGTGTGTGCCCTCTGTGTGTGTGTGCACAGGTGTGTGTGCCCTGTGTGTGTGTGTGCACAGGTATGTGTGCCCTCCCTGTGTGTGTGCACAGGTGTGTGTGCCCTCTGTGTGTGTGCACAGGTGTGTGTGCCATCCCATGGGTGTGCACATTCATGTGTGCCCTCTGTGTGTTTACCCGTTCATGTGTGCCCTCCCTGTGTGTGTGCACATTCATGTGTGCCCTCCCTATGCCCACACACGTGTGCACACCCACACAGGTGTGCACACCCACACACCTCTCCCCTGTGAGTGTGCACCTCCCCAGTGCACGCACACACACATGTGAGCACATTTCCCTTCCGTGCACACGTGTGTGCCCTCCCTTCCCTGGCACACACGTCCACGCCTCTCTCTCGTGTGCCCGCGTGCCAGGGGAGGATGCACATGTGTGTGTGTGTGTGTGTGTGTGTGTGTGTGAGTGTGCTCTGACCCCCTGGCTGTGGGTGCCTTCTTCCCCCACGTGTACACACACACACACACACTTGCACACACACACACACACACACACACAGACACACACACACAAACACTTGCACACCCTTCTCTGGTGCGTGTGAACACTAGTGCCTGCCTGTGCTGGGTACCTGCACAAACACACGTGAGCACTTTTCCCACGTGCAAACCTTTTCGATTTGCACTCATCCCCACGTGCAAACCCTTTAGATTTACCCCTTTCCCCATGTGCAAACCCTTTAGATTTTCACTTTTCCCTACGTGCACCCCCTTTAAATTTGCACTTTTCCCCACCTGCACCCCCTTTAGATTTACACCTTTCCCCACCTGCACACCCCTTAATTTGCACTTTTCCCCATGTGCACACCCTTTAGATTTTCACTTTTCCCCCCCTGCACCCCCTTTATTACCCCTTTCCCCATGTGCATCCCCTTTAGATTTTCACTTTTCCCCACATGCACCCCCTTTAGATTTTCACTTTTCCCCCCCTGCACCCCCTTTATTACCCCTTTCCCCATGTGCACACCCCTTAGATTTTCACTTTTCCCCCCCTGCACCCCCTTTATTACCCCTTTCCCCATGTGCACCCCCTTTAGATTTGCACTTTCCCCACCTGCACGCCCTTTATTACCCCTTTCCCCATGTGCACCCCCTTTAAATTTTCACTTTCCCCCCCTGCACCCCCTTTATTACCCCTTTCCCCAGCCGGGCAGCGCAGCCTCTCCCCGCCCGGCCTCTCGCCCACGTCGTGCCCTCCAAGCCGCCCCTGTGCCCCGCAGGTCCCACGGCCCCGATGCCAAAATGCTGGAGCAGGGCGCGGGGCAGGCGCGGGGGCCGCTGGCGCTGGGCCACATGCTGCACATCGCCACGCAGATCGCCTCGGGCATGGTCTACCTCGCCTCCCTGCACTTCGTCCACCGCGACCTGGCCACCCGCAACTGCCTGGTGGGCCACGACCTGGTGGTGAAAATCGGCGATTTCGGCATGTCCCGGGACATCTACAGCACTGATTATTACCGGGTGAGCTGCTCCTTCTCTCCTCTCTGCTCTGGGGTGGGAGGTCACGCTCGATTTTCCACCCCCAGCCCGTGGCTGCTGCCTGCCACCTCTTCTCCATCCACGTTTAACCGCAGGATGGGTTGGGTTGGAAAGGATGTTTGGAAATGGTCCAGCTCAACCTGCAGGGACGCTCTCCAATAGAGCAGGTTGCTGGCTCCAAATCCTGACCTTGAATATCTCCAGGGATGGGGCAGCCACAGCTTCTCTGGGCAACCCTCAGAGTAAAAATGTTTCTTCCTTACACCTAACCTGGGGTTTTGTGGGAACACCCGGCCTGGTTCAGGGGTTCCGTGTGGTGGAAAAGTCTCTCCTCCAAGCTGTGCTTCCAAAGAAAGGCTCAGCAGTTTCTTGTTGTTTGGTCTCAAGGCAGTTTATTGCGAGTTATCTAAAAGATTGTCTTCTTGAGCTGCTGTGGTTTGCTCAGCAGCCCAGGCAGGAGGCACACACACCCCTGACACCCTCTCTATCTGCTGTCTTCTTCTTCTCTCTCCCCACCCAGGGCTGCTGCTATCTTTTCTATGATATATTACGTATTACGTGTTTATAGTTTCCCCCCCATTCCTACTACCTATATTACAAAGTGCTTTTCTACTCTAAACCAATCTGTGAGTGCCAACATCACCAAGAACATGGAGGCGAGGAAAAGGAAGGAGGAAGAACAGGATCAGCCCACTTTCCTCCATCTTAGAACTCCTGACCCCCATGTACAAAGTAAAAACCCCCCTGTACAGGTGCTAAAACCCCCCTGTACAATACTAAAAAAATTTCCCTTCTGTTTTGTAACTACTTCTACTATACTATCCAACCCTTTGTGAGTGTTCCACCTCCAAAGTTGGTAACTCATCCCATGGCTCCAACTCAAAATCCCAGCTGTTTCCAGCTGCCTGCCAGGGTCTAAAATGCTTCTGAGCAAGGCCTGGAACCTCTAAAAATGTCTGAGGGACAGTTTGAGTTCCAGCAGGGTTTACTGACCGGGGCCAGGGATGGGGGATGGAAACAGGAGGGTCCCTGCCTTGCTGACAGCCCTGCTGTGGGCAGGTGGGGGGCAGGACCATGCTGCCCATCCGCTGGATGCCTCCCGAGAGCATCCTGTACCGCAAATTCACCACCGAGAGCGACGTCTGGAGCTTCGGCGTGGTGCTCTGGGAGATCTTCACCTACGGGAAGCAGCCCTGGTACCAACTCTCCAACGCCGAGGTGAGCGAGCTGGGGCAAGGAGGATGGGGGCAGCCCCTCTGGGGGTGCTCAGCGCGGGGGGATCCCATCTCCATCCCTGTTCCCGCAGGCCATCGAGTGCATCACGCAGGGCCGGGAGCTGGAGCGGCCCCGCACGTGCCCCTCCGAGGTTTATGGCATCATGCAGAGCTGCTGGCAGCGGGAGCCCCAGCAGCGCCAGCCCATCAAGGAGATCCACAGCCGCCTGCAGGCCCTCGTCAAGACACCCCCAGTCTATCTGGACATCCTGGGCTGAGTGGGGACCCCCCCAGCCACCCTCTGCTCCTTGCTGTTCCCCTGCCCGCCCTGCCACCCGCACACCCACAGGCGGGAGAAGCCTGAAACCTTATTTATAGTGCAAAACGCCAGCCCAATCCCGGCTTGGGGGGGCTGGAGGGCTGGGCTGGGGGACCCCCGGGGCTGTGCCCCCCTTGTCTGACTCCTTAACGCTCCCACAGTGCCAGGATGGAGGCTCTTGGCTGATGTGGGTTGGCTCGGGGGGGGGTGCAGAGCCGGGGGACCCCAGCACGGGCTGCGTGCCAGTGCAGGAGCTGGGGGGGCTCGGCTCTCCCCGGGGAGTTGGGGTTGCCCCGTGCTCGCCCGCTCTGCAGCGAAGCCAATCAATAATAAACCGTGTCTCCTCCGCAGTGACCCCCGCGTTCTCTGGGCAGGTGGGACTGGGGGCATTTTGGGGAGAAAAAGGGGGTTTTTCACTTCAGGGAAGCTGCTCTGTCTGGGGGAGAGGAGGTGCTGGGCCAGCGATCCTCCCAGGATGCGGGGACAGCCTGGGCTGCGGGGGTCACACACCCCGGGGCAGGGCTGGTGTCCCCATGGATGTCACCAGGGATGCTTTTGGCTGTGCCACGAGGGCTCCGGCGATTCTTGTGCCACACCCTGGCCCGGGGAGTCTCCTTGCAGAGGGCTCCAGCTGGAGGATGGGACTCCGCAGCACAAAGCCACCACCCATCCCCCCCAAAAGAGCGACATCCCTCCTTGGCTGTGTCCTCCCGTGGAACCGGGGGTTATCGCATGCCCCGCAGCAGCCACTCCATCATCCCTCCTCAGGCTCTCCAGCCGCCTTGGTAATGGTTGAGACCTGGATTTGACCATAATGGAGCTGAATTGATTTCATCTGGATAATTAGGCAGCACAGGCAGAGCCCTGGCAGCTCCTTTGTTACCCCCTGTGACCCAAGATAAGCAGGAGGAAAGCGGGCTCGCAGGGGAAACTGAGGCACGGCACGAGGTGGGAGAAATCAGGGGGGTCTTTGCTGGGTGCGGAGGGGTTTGGGGCTGCCTTGGCACCTGGCTGTGCCCAGTGGCTTGCGTGGCACAGTGAGGGCAGGAGGAAATGGGAGCTCCCAGCCTGAGCAGCCCTCAGCCCCGCAGCGGGGCCAGGCCCCTCTGGCTCGCCCTGGATCTTGGCTGAGGGTCCTGTCCGGGAAAAGGGGAGCTGCCAGGGGCAGGTCCGGCTCTGCTGGGGCTCAGCCTGGCTGCCAGAGCCCCCCAGCCGCTTCCTTGGGGTCTCTAATCGCTGCCCTCGCTGATTTATGGCCTTCCCCCCGCCCCCTTATCTAATTTGAGGAAGGAACTAGATTACAACCTTGAGCTTTTCCAGCCCCGCGCCGGAGATTGCCGCAGACCGGTGCCCCAAAAGGACCGTGTGTGCTGACACCCCCTCTCCAGGCAGGCTGGGCTTCCCTGTGTCGCTCAGATCCCTTCATGGGGTGGCAATGCCTCAGCGGGGCGTGGCTGTGCCTCAGTTTCCCCCTTGGAGCGGTCAGGGAAGAGTTAAGGTTCACCCCGCGATCGATTTTATCCCCCCCCTCCGCGCCTCCCTGCTGGGGAAGTTTCTCCATTTCAGCGCTCCGCGGGGAGCGGTAATGGACTCTGGCAATGAGGTAATTAACGGCTCCGCTCCCGGGCGGCACCGGGGCCCGGCCCCGCTCCCCCGGCTTCATCGGGGCCGGGGTTCCCGGAGCCGAGCCCGCTTCGGGCGGCGGGCACAGCTGCGGTGGTCGCCACGCACATCGCGCCCCGCGGGTCCCACCCCGGCTGTGCCACCCTCCCGCGCCCTGGTGCCACCAGCGCTGGGCGCGGCGGGGTCGGGTTTGATCTTTAGAGGGTCCCGCTCCCTCCCAAAATCTAATGTCAGCGTTCAGGAACACACAGAATCACAGAATATCATTATTTGCAGGTGCTTTTATTGATGAAGAGCTCTGGGAATCAGGTACAGACCCAAATCTGACTCCGACACGGCTTTCGAGCTGAACGTATTTTATATTCTATCCTTATATAACTTACATATTAATTATTAAACTGATATTGTTCTATTGTATACATTGACATGAGTTTCTCGTGATCTTTCTTAGGCCCCTGACCACAGTTTCTCATGATTATTCTTACGATTAAACAGTAATTATATTTAATTACTAAACAATCATCACATCTAACAATTATATCATTTATCACATACCAGCTACACAGGTGCAGTTCTAGCAAGTACAAGTTCTCCATGTGCTTAGGCTGTTTATTTTTCCAAGGCCTACTAAGCTTATTTTTCCTTTTCACCCTAAATCCCCATGATTTTAAAACCCTTTTACTCTCACTGGGGGGACCCCAGGTAAGAGGCTCAGTGATGTGTTTGGGGTGGTGTTTAGGGTTGCTGAGGGCACAGCGGGGTCCTGCCCATCCACCAAAGTGCACCCGGGGGTCTCCGTCCTCTCCGGCTCCGGGGCTCCCGGGGGGGCTGCAAAGGCATCTCGGCACTGAAGTGCCGCTGCGATGTCCCCGAGCAATATTTTCCCCCGCCCCGGGGACACCTTAAAAAGCATCGCAGGGAGGGAGGGAGGGGTCGCTTCCCCAGCAGACCCTCAGCTCCGGATGTCCCCAGCGTGTCCCATCTTGTCCCATCTCCAATATCCTTTTCCTTCTCCAGGCCCCCGCGCTCCCCGTGGCCGCCCCTGCTCCGGGAGCGCCGTTTTGGGGTGGTCGCACGGAGCCCCAGCTGCGGGTGGGCTCGATCCTAATGGAGAGCCGGGCGGAGGAACGGCGAGGGGGGCGGGCAGCCGAGTCTCCCCGGGACGTGCAAATCGTTGCGAGTGATTAGAGCTGTTCCTGTAACGAGCAGAGCAATTAACGGCGCCTCGGGAGCCGCCGAGGCCGCTAATGTGTGCCGGGGGCGGGGGGCAGCC